TAAGATGTTCTAATGTTCTTGTTTCAGTCTTGGTAATTGTACTTTTCTAGGAAATGTCCATTCCATCTAGATTTTCAAATTTATTTCCATAAAGTTGGGTATCTTTTAATATCTATGAGACCCCTAGCAAAGTTCTTTTTTGTGTTCCTGATATAAGTTGTGCCTCTTTTTTTCTTCAGTAGTCTTACTGCAGATCTATTAATTTTACTAATTTTTTTCAAAGAACCACCTTTTGGTTTTGTTATCTTTTCTTTCTTTTTTTTTTTTTAAGATTTATTTTTATTTATTTATACAAGCACTGGGTATAGTCAGAAGCGCTGGTGGGTGAGAGAATTCACCAGAGCCAGAGCGGGGAGCAGAGCATGCAGAAGGACCAAAGTACACTGCTGAGGGGAGCAGCAGGCAGCAGGAGAGGTCTGCGAGCCATGTGGGACCCTCCTCCAGTGGCCGGGAGCAGCCGGGGCTTGAACCGGTGCTGCAGAGGCTGCGGGCAGCTTCGCAGCCCAGCGCTCAACCCCTGCGCCACTGGGGAGGCCCGGTTTTGTTATCTTTTCATAGTATATTTTTAAAATTTAATTTATGCCAACTGTTTGTTATTTTATTTCTACTTTCACATAATTGTTTTTTTTCTAATTTCTTGAAATGGTTACCTATTGGTGTTCATTATTTCTTAAAATCTATCCTTCGGATTCAAGTGACTTGCCCAAGGTCACACACAGTTAGCAACAAGACTAGATATATAGAATCTAGAACTGTTCTCTGTTAAATGAGAGGACCCAATAAAAGGGGGGAAAACAATCTAGAATATTCTCCAAAACCTGTATTTTTTGCTATTCACTATGATAACTTCTTTTTTGTAGATGAGAATAATAAAAGATGTTCATAGTCAATATTCATTGAGCCCTAATAAAGCAGGCACTGTTCTGAACATTTTGCATGTATTGTCCTTTAAGCTTCTGAATTGCATATAAACTTGGGTAGGGCAAAATTTTTTATAGTTCTCTTTTCAAATGTCTTCTTTTTCTCTGTGCTATCTTCCTAGTATAAAAACTAGAAACAGTCAATGGGAACTATTTTTCTCTCCTTTTTCTATATCTTTCTCCATTCTTTATAATAGATTTTTTTTCTCTATTATGTCCCCTCTTTTTTGTTTTTTAATGAATATAAAATCCTCTGAGCTAGAGATGATATATTAGAGAATCGTTTATAAAAACCTCATTTTATTGATACAAATGACTATCCCCTTTCTCTTCCATTATATGCTCAGCATCTGCTTCACCAGCTGGAGAACTAAAACTGATTCAGATCCCATTTATATGATGGAGTGACGACAAGTCACAAGGATAGTAATAATGATGACAGGAACTTCTCAGCTTGTATTGTACTTTTGCTTTCAAAACATTTTCATATTTTTTTTTTTAAGATTTATTTATTTATTTTACAAGCACTGGGTACAGTCAGAAGCGTGGGAGGGTGAGAGAATTCACCAGAGCGGGGAACAGAACAGGCAGACTGACGAAATACACTGCTGAGGGGGGCAGCGGGTGGCAGGAGAGGTCTGCGCGCCGTGTGGGAAAGTTCGCCTGGCGGCCAGGGATCAAGCTGGCATTGCAGAGGCTGCAGACCGGTTTGTTCCCTGGATGCTGGCGAGGGTCCCACAAAAAACAAAAACATAGATTCTTATTTAGTAGCAACAACCTAGTGAGCAAGAAGCTTTCAGGATTTCTTGTTTTAATTCATGAGAAACTAGGCCACAAAAATGCCATGTTACTCATTGGAGTCATACAGCCAAGTACTTCTTTCATTTGGTGGTTGTGGTTGCAAGTGATCTTTGCCAGGAGCATATATCTGTATCATCTTTGGAGCTTTGAGACAAACCAGATGCCAGCTCTCACTCTTAGAAGCCTCATCTGCCTGTCATGGGCTCGAGCATTAGCTGGATTTTTGGTTTGTGTTTCAGGATCCACAGATGATTCATGTGGGTCCTCTGATCATGGACCCATTGATCCACTGCATATTGTTGCGCCAACACCATACACACTAGCAGAAGTAATGCTGGTAACACAGCTAGAACCAGAATTTAAGTCTTTTTTTACTCACTATGATGGTTTTGAGTTTTATTCTTTACTGCTCAAGTATGTAACTGAGATTTTTCTGTTGTCAGATAAGACCAAAATAATACTGAAATTAATGGGTCCATAACATTACCGCTGCCAGCACTCTTCTTTGTCTGTACCTTCAGAAATGGGAAACAATTGAATGTTTAAAGTATTTTCTATATATGTTAAGTATATGTTATGTTCTATATATGTTAAGTATATTTTCTATATATGTATTTTCTATATATGCACCAAAATCTTGTAATAGCTAACAAATGAGTTCATAAGGTTGGAGAACCAAAACATCTTCAAAAGTAATCACTACCCCAAACCCTGAATACACTAAAAAGCATTGAATACTCTTCAGGGGGTGAATTATATGGCATGTAAATAAAGCTATTTTTAAAAATAACCCCAATCACTGTGATTCTCTGTTGTCATCCATAGTTTGAGTCTTATGGAGAAAAGGAAAGAACTTTGCCTCTTTCCAGGGCTGCCAGGTGATATCTTTCACTTGAATCACATGTCAGTGTAATTAATATAGTTAATTTTTGACCAAAATACTCATAAAATTATATTAACTCATAATAAAAGAAATATAAGTCTAAGGTATAACATTAAAAATTGTTAAAATTTAGGGTTTTTCAAGTATTTTTCTATTCACTGACATGCCTTCTTCAACCACCCTATGTAATAACTGGTGTCTTCCACGTTTTACAACTGATGAACTTTCTGCCTCTTTCTAACTGCCAGTTTTCACACTTGTACCTACTTTTCCACAGACAGTACAGATTGGTGGGACTAGGAATGCTGAAGACATAAATCATTTGGCTCCACAATATTAGTTTTGGATTAAAACCAAACACAAGTGGCAAAATAACACATGGTGAAAGCATGGGCTATGTTTCTATGATGCCAAGCAGAGCTGAAATAATTCTTTGAGAGGAGGTGTGAATACACATGTATAATGATACTTTAACCCAACTGTGAGCAAAATATTTTGTCACATTCCCTTGTGTTGTTAGGTTTGGTCTGCCATCTGCCATTCTTGCACTGACTGGCTTCGAGCACTCATGAGTAGCAGGAACTTTGTTAGAAGCACAGAGTTTCCATCGAAAGATGAACTAGGGTCTTAATTCTGCTGTTTTTCCTATGCGTCCTCTGAGGAACAGTTTCTTTCACTGGATATCATTACAGAGTAATAATCATTTCTTTCTTGGTTTTGTATTTATGTGAATTTCATTTTTTTCTCTTCTGATTCATGCAATTCCTCTGTTTCATTTTATCTGTACTGCTTATAAATCTAAATTTATCAAGCTAAATTAAGTTCAATATGCTCATTTCGAGAAGGCAGGATAATTATGCAAAATAATTAAAATGTAAACATCTCAGTATTTGAAAGGCTGATAATCTGTTATCAGAAATGTTAAATTGTGTGGAAAAACACCTGCATTCTTAGCCACCTCCAGATAAGTGAGGTTATACTACAGATTACATAAATTTTTTTTTTAGTCCCTGAAAGAATGAGGATAAAAATCATTTAAAAAGTAAGGGTGTAATTGTTTTGTAGTAAGTGCTCTTAACCTTAAATACCCAATGCTTGAAACCATAACAACTGTTAACTACATGAAAAGATCAAGCTTTTGTCATTAACCTGTATTGTATATTCTCTCTCAAACAGTTTATGTATACCCTTTTCCTAAATCAAGGTTTCTTAACCACCACAACTTTGGCCTGTAAACATTAGATGCCAGTACCCCATCCCACTTCTCTTTCCTTGCGACAACCAAAAACATCTCCAGATATTTCCAGATGTTCCAGATGTCCAGCCCTAAATATACTAGAGAATAGGAGCTATTATACAAATTGGTGACTCTGCGAAAGGCTAAAATTCAAAAGGCTGTTGTTTTTTAAGGAGTAAAAACCAAAGGTTTTTTTTTTTTTTTTTTAGAGGCATGAATTTCTATTTATTTATTTGTTTGTTTATACATGCACTGGGTACAGTCAGAAGCGCGGGAGGGTGAGAGAATCCACCAGAGCCAGAGCGGGGAGCAGAGCAGGCAGAAGGACCGAAGTACACTGCTGAGGGGAGCAGCGGGCGGCAGGAGAGGTCTGCGCGCTATGTGGGACCCTCCTGCGGTGGCTGGGGAGCAGCCGGGGATCGAACCAGCGCCGCAGAGGCCGCAGAGGCTTCGCAACCCAGCGCTCAACCGCTGCGCCACCAGGGAGGCCCAAAACCAAAGGTTTTGAATTGATGTCATTTTACTCAAATGGTTTATTAAAAAGGAAAGTGTCTGGTTCAAAGGTAGACCCTTAAACAAGCATCAAAATTGTAGCATCTTATCAAACAAGCATCTCCTATCAGAAAATCCATTTATCAAGTTATTTTGTAATCACTCTAAGGAGACTACACAGAAGAAATCAGAATTAATCCTTTTTTTCCTAAATATATTTTTTAGGTTCCTAAAGCCACCTCTAACTAAATATATCTTTATTTTCAAAAGACTTCATGGAAGAAATCAGACTTAACCCTTTCCCCCCCTCCTGTCAACTACACTGCAGTTTCCTGAAACTAATAGATTACAAGGTTAAAGAATCGTGCCAACTTTTTAATAAAATAATTTCAGTTTCTTACTTTGATGTCTCCTGCCCTCTCCGTAGCCCCACTTATGGAACATGATAGTCAGCACATTTTAGCTTTTCCATTGAGGGTACTTTTAGCTTTTTTGTTGCCATCTAATACCTGGCGGAACACTAATGATTTATTTTTACCTTCTCTATGATAGCCCCGTGGACACTTAACACTTCTATATGTCCTGAATTTAAAATTATTTCACCTGGTGACTTTGAAATCACTCTTGCCTTCTCTTATGCTCCCCCTCTCCCTTCCTCACATAACAGCAGCTGCTGATTCAGCAGACCGAAGTCCTCGGCCCACATCTGCACCAGCCATTGCTCAGAGTCAGGTCACAGAAGGCAGTGTCCCAGGTGCACCTCTCAAAAAACCAGTGGCTTCTAAAACACCGAAGGAAACAGTGAAGGTTGAAGTAAAAAGGGAAGAAGTGCCACCTGAGCAAATTGAGCCAGAGCTCACAGAATCATGGAAGGTATGTCATAAATCCAAATAACTAGCTAATTCATTCTGATTTAGAGGTGTTAACTCCTTGACCAGGAAGGCTTTCAAAGCGGTTGATTCTTATAGAATCCTTACAGTTATTTTTTGCTCACTTTTTCTTAAAGAAGGTATCACCCATGAATTTGAAAGTATTTTCACAGAATTATATTATGAACATTATGAATTTCCCAGAAGTTTTAAGGTAACCCACACCTTGATCCAACTTGTATCTGAAAAAATGAGTCTATGGAACATACCAGCACTGTGATTGTCCATCATCATACAGGCGGAATTTCCACATTCTTTTTTAAGCTAGTAGTTTAAAATATAACTTGATTTCCGAGCATTAATATATCTTATCCATATTCAGAGAATATCTCGGTACTACATAAAGCACATCTGTATAGTCTTAAGTAGCTTCACAAAAAGGGGCAGCTGTGTTATGGAGAGGTTATGCTATTTGAGTTGCTTACAAATTCAAGTTGATTGTACCCACAGTCACTGAACCTTGTTGAAAAAGCACCATTTAAATTAGCAGATTTCCCAGGAGTAGCAGTAACATATGTTGACAAGATTTTTTTTAAAGACATTTAGATAGTGATAGAGTTGAGGTGTTAGTTCCAATTTATTGAAGTAAGTACCAGTCTCACTGTTGACAACAGGATTTATTAGAAGCAGTCTTTATAAGAAAAATTATATATTCATAGGTCTAAGGAATTCAAAACCATCTAAGACCCTAGTCTGTGCTCTCACCTTGGCAGACGGACTGATCCTGTGCTTTTGGAGCCAGTTCAATAGCTGGTTTATCTGTAGCGCAAGTAATTTAAGCTTTACAAAATAATTTAAAACTACCATTTTATAAACATCCATATTTACTGCATATTATTGATAAAAATCTAAACTCAGCCTTTTGGGTGGATCCCCCATCGTCCAGCAAATCACCAAATTGACAAACACAAAGGGAAGGAGGAGAGACATCTCTTTTGTGTTCGCCAGGCCTTTTAGAAAACACAGAGCTGTTCCCACATTAATGTGAATCTGCAAGAGCAGCAATACTGTGGACATCAAGGGGGTGTGCACTATTTAAAAAGGAGTGTCCCACATGTTATCATGTGGTAAACCTGCAAGTGTCTGTAATGCTGCCCAGCATGTAGTTGGCATTGTTGTAAACAAACAAGTGAAGGGCAAGATGCTTACCAAGAGAATTTATGTTTGTATTGAGCATATTAAGCTCTCTAAGAGCCAAGACAGCTTCCTGAATTATGTGAAATAAAATGATTAGGAAAAAAAGGAAGCCAAAGAGCAAGGTAAGTGGGTCCAGCTAAAGTGCCAGCCTGCTCTACCCACTGAAGCTCATATTGGGAATGAGTGGAAAGGAGCCTGAGGTGCTGGAATCCACTCCCTATGAATTCCTGGCATGATAGGTGTGGTGGTAAAAGACCTCTGGGTTATTTTTTTTAAAATAAAAACCTTAAACTCAGAGAAGTGAAAAAACTTGTAAATGATCAACACAGAAAGTGTACTGGGATTCAGAGTAGAAATGACCCAAATTTGTTGATTACCCCTTGTAGAAAAAGGTGCTATAGATGGATGTGCTTATGATTTTGACAGTGTCACAAAATCTGGTGTTTCCTTCCATTAATGTTCTTTACATTCAGTCCTAGAAAAAATAGCATGGTGACATTGTACTCTGAAGCAATGCTGCCAAGTGTGATTAAAAAGAATATGTCAAAACCACAGTTTTGATGAGTTTCTGTAAAGAGCTTAATGATACAAAGTGATTGATTTGACCCAAAATAGTTTTCGAATTTTGAAATATCCAGTGCTTTGGGCATTGCTCACTCTATTATGCTTCCTTTTAATAGTCTGTCTGGATTTATGTTGTTTATCCTTACTCAATTTGGGGTATAGAAGATGGCTATTACTAAAAGTATTTCAAAGTTAGGCAGGAGGCCTTAATATTCTCGCCCTACTATTAAGGATGAATCTTGCCCATTCATCAAACACATGGACTCCAACTCCCTAGAAAAGAAAATACAGCCTGCTGAATGTCGCAGCTGAGCCCTGTATGTGCTTATTTATAAATCAGACTTGGAAGCAATTGCATGTCTCAGGAACAATTTGTGTTGAGTTTTTTTTTGATGTCTTGTTGTTTTAATAAACTTAAAGATGAAATGCCCTCCTTAAATATATTGATCAACTAACAAAATTGTTTGTATTTACCTGCTCAATGTCTCATGTGACTTATAACATGTGTGCTTTAAGTGTAAAGATTTTCCTTTGTTTCTAACACTCATGTATGTCATACATTGATATCTTCATTGGTAAATTTGTTTTCAAGTGTTGTTTAAAGTTCTAGATCACTACAGAAGGGAAAGCAAAAACATGGCCTATTTGAACCTATATTTTTTTTTTATACGTAAGTAGGAAAATATTCTTCATGAATAGCATAATTTTCTTTTTTTGATTATTTGGCTATTCATATTACCTCTTCAGCCTTAAAATGGTTGGTGAGGTAGAAGATTGCTGTTGAGAATGACACCCCCTTGTAAGACTGCACCACGATGATTATATATATCAGCTTATTTCACAACCAACTTAAAGATGCACTTATTTGGGCACAACGCTGTACATAGAAATCTGTTAACCTAAACTGTTTTTGCCACTTTATTTCTTAAATGTAGGTGGAAAAAACCCACATCGAGGTCACAGTACCTACCTCAAATGGTGACCAAACACAGGTTTGTGCCAACAGGCCACTTGTTTCTTTACCCTTCCCCTCCCAAATTTTTCTTCTCCCCCATTCCCCTTTCCTTAAAAAAAAAAAAAAAAAAAAATATATATATATATATATATATATATATATATATATAAAGAAGGTTCAAACAAACTTCACTGAGCCAATATTTCATCATTTTTCTTTTTTTTTTGTTTTTTTAATAATTGCAAAACAGAAGCTTGCAGAAAAACCTGAAGAGCTGATAAGAATGAGGAAGGTTAGCTATATTTCCTCTCACAAGACTGACGTTACCATCACCCATGCTGACTTTGACAGTGCATTAAAAAGACAGTGATCCATTTTTTCATTGATTTCTCTTAATCAGAAATTATTTTAAATAGCTAATGTGTGTATATGCATATACACATAATACTATATGAAAGAAATTATAATCCTATACTATATATGAAATTTTCCATTAAAGCAAGCTTTTCAATGAAGAAATATCTTTTTAAACACAAAGAAATAATCAGTGAAGGCCAAACCTATCCTTTATGTTTAAACTTTATGAGAAATTTTCACAATGGCATTATAATCTTAGAATCATTGACAATATTTAATGCATACTTATCACAGAAACCATTATAGCAGCAGCTTCTAGAATTGTTACTAACTGTGGTTTTCTCTGCTCTGTGCTCTACTCTTCCCAACTAGAGGAGGATGAATCAGTTCTTCCTAAGTAGAATATTTGACTGATCATGTATAAAATGATTAGATTTTTCTTATGAAAGATATTAGGTATATACTGCAGTATTACCAAATATTAAATATGTCCAAAAAACTAAATGATGTTTTGAGCACTTTCCTACCCCATGTAACATGGAGTTTCAAAGATTCTTAAAGGCACATATCTTACGATAACCCTCAAACAGCTCAATTTCAAAAAAAAAAAAAAAAAAAAAAACAGCTTGTTATGTAAGGCGCCAATGAAGCTAGGAGCACTGTCTATTTAAATAACATCATCATATCTTTTCACTGTTCATGAGCAAGGCCATCCATTTTCTAGTATGATCATGTGTTCTGTGTGTCCTTGTGGTTCTGTGACCATTTCATGTTGGCATATGCTGCGCTGTGGACATTTTCACTTAAAATATTTTTTTTGGTTTGCCAATTTGCTGTTTTTTCCCCGCAAGAACAACATTTTAATTTTTTATGCTTTTCTGTTTTTCCCTCTTTCATTTTCACAGAAAAAGAGAGAGAGACTAGATGGTGAAAACATTTATATCAGACATAGCAATTTAATGTTGGAGGTTTGTATGAACTTGAAGCTTATTTCAGTTGGTTGCCTGTAACCCTCTGCACTCTTTGCTGATCTTTCTTCTTTCTATGCTGCATTTGGTTTTGCATGCCATTGCATGAAGGATTACTAGATTTAAAATGCTTTTGCATGTTGGTAAACATGAAGATACGCAACCTTCTCTCCTTCTGGCTCTTAGTTTCCATCTCTCATACTTATCTATAAAATATATGATTGGGACTACCTCTGCCTCGCATGGTTCCATTTACTCACTTTCAGAAAGTTCTCAATCATTGTTAAAAATTCCTTGAATTTTTAAAGAATATAGATTCCTATATCCCAAACATCAAATTTGGTCAGTTTTCATCTTCTGAATGGAGACAGTGTAGGAAAAATGATCACAATTCAAAAGATTTTAAATTTGGGGCATACTAGATAAGAACAGGAAGTCAGTTAGAGGAAAAAAACTAAGATGCGGGAAGGCAAGAAGGGAACCTAGCATTTTATATGTAGTTAGTCTGATATAAGCTAGGTTAATAATAAAAACAGGCCTGTGAGTATAGGATTATTAATTTAAAGATGAGAAAATTGAGGTTTAGAGTAATTAGGTAATATCCCTATTGTCACAGAACTGGTAAGTTGGTAAAGCATGGATTTAAGATAGGGTGTATCTAATTCTATTAAAGTATGATTTTTTTTTTCATTCAAAAATAGTACCTGTTGTCTGCCATAGGAATTGTTAGGTTATTTCCCTATTCAATATTGGTCAGATTTTTACTAGACATATATCCTTATACATTGTCTAGTTTTGGGCTAAGTATAAAATCAAGTAGAAATTAAGTAACTCCATGAGGAAAAATTAAGGAAACTGGAAGTATTCTGTGTTATTCACATTAATTTACACATTAGAAAAACACTTATATTGAAGCTGACCAGATTGCTTTACAATTCCCCTCAAGACAAAGCCCGAAGAAAGGGATGTAAATTCTGACATCAGTAATTTAACTTAAATATAAAGGAAATACAGATATAAAGGAAGATGACAAACATGGTTTCTGCCTTCAGGAAGCTTACAATGTAGGGAAGTGGGAGGAGAGAAATAATAAACAAGTCGTGATAAAATGATTGCAATTAGTCTAAAAGCTGTGAAGAAAATAAGCAGTATGTTATGATAATAAACAGGATCTACTTTAAGTAGGATGGACAGGGAAGTTAACTCTGAAGAGATAACATTTTAGCTGAAACCTAAAAGATAAACACATTCAATGTGGTAAAACTACTAAACCAAAAGTTTAAAGGAACTTTAATATAATGGCCTCTAATAATTACTAAACCTTGTCTTACTCCTTATCAATATGTATATTTTGAGTGCCTGCTATGTATAAGATATTTTGGTAAAAGTAATGAAAATTAAGGCCAAGGCCTCCCTGGTGGCGCAAGGGGTTAAGCACAGCACTGTGAAGCTATCCGTAGCCTCTGCAGCACAAGTTTGATCCCCAGCCAGCCAGGGGGCTACCCACATGGTGCAGCAGACCTCTCCTGTCTTGCCTGCTGTTCCCCTCAGCAGTGTATTTCAATCAGTCTGCCTGTTATGTTCCCCACTCTGTCTCTGGTGAATCTTCTCACCCTCCACCCCCGTACCTCTGGCCTTTACCAAATAAATTTATATATTTATTTAAATAAATAAATCTTTTTTTAAAAAAAGAAAGAAAATTAAGGCCAGCCTTTGTTAATCATGTCTTGTGTGGTAGGCAAATGCCAAGTGCTTTATATACATTTACCTCATGCAATGTGAGGTTGTCCAAGGCTGGATCTAAACTTGAATATTAGATCACTTTGCATTAGCCTATAACAGAAACTAGGAACCAGAATGTTTCCTCTTCTAAAGTTAGCAAGACTAGAGAAGACTAGCAGATATCAGTTGATCTTTTTGTACTCAGCATGTAATATCTTCCAATCCCAAACATGCCAATTTCTTTACTAGCTCATTCTCTTAACTGGAACCTGCAGTACCAATCATATATTTGTCATTAACTCCATAAGGTGTGGTATGGCTTCTGAGACTCAAAGTCCTTGTGTGTGATGTGTTTTTTCCAAGTATTTCATTGACAGCCATAATAGGAGATTCCTAAATAAGTGTGGTTTTGAAAATTAAAACTACTAACTACCATTTGAGAACATTTTATATTTAACAAAGTGTTTGGTTTAATTGCTGCTAAAATTACAAGATGATAGGCATCAAAAGTGTCTAACCTGACAACAACCAAAGTAATTTGGCTAACCACTGATTCTTTAGTTATTGTGAAAAAGTTTGTTGCCCTCCCTCCCCCCACCCCAACTCCCAAGGAGGTTTTCTCAAGTTATCTGTCACTTTCACAGGTTTTTTTTTTAAGCGTCCCTCCTTCCCCTACTCCTACCCCACCCCCACTAATGCTTTGTTCTGGCACAAATAAGGTCGGTCGAGTTCATTTTTAGATCTGCCGCCTCCTCCTCCATCTCCCAGAGAGAACCTGTAGCAAGTGTCTATGACAAATTCTATTTGGAACAGGTCCCTTTGAGATCTTAATTTTACTCTGTGCCCCCACAGGTTTCCAACAGAGCCAGCTAAGAAAGATGGAGAAAGTTCCCTCAGAAGCTACTGATTTATTGAAACATTTATTTCCTCAGGTTCCAAGTCAATCAAAAGCTAGGCAAGAAGAGTGACAGACCACCATTCTTTGATATTAAGAGGTTAACCCAGAGAATCTTGGTTTTACCATAGCATATTTTGCTCATTTTTGTTTTGCTCCATTTACACTTTAAACTCCTCCAAATGTGTTAAGTTGTGCAGATTTAATTGCAGTCAGGAGCCAGGTCACAGGGCCTTATATATATATATATATATATATATATATATATATATATATATATATATATATATATGCTGAATGGGTCTCAGTTGCTCAGCCTATTCTGAGTCTTTGACCCAGCTTCTTCATATGCTTTTCTTTAATGAGGAAACATGCTTTTCTTGCTTTCAGCTACAACAAAAGTGCAAGCTGTCGTTTCCCCATGGTGAAGCCCATATTCATGAGTTATACTTACATTTCATCCCAGCAATAAGAGATACTCTTATGGGGGAGCGACAGGATTGCCCTTTTGGGATTAGTTTTTTCTTTAACTAATCTCAAAGCAAATATATATGGTTCAGTTTTGAAAAATATGGACTATTAAGTAAATTTTCTGAATGAAGAATCAAAATTGTGTCATGTCTCACTGATTCGTTTTCCTATGTTATTTTCCCTTTGACATTGGTTTTGAAAAAAATTGTATTTAGGTGAAGCCTATGTTCCCTCCCCCCCCAAAAAAAAAAAAAACTTTAATAACATGTTTTGATTTGAGTCCTTATTTTTTTCCCCCAAAATGGGTTAGTTTCCATAAACCCCCCCCCAAAAAAAAATCCCAAAATTGACACAACATATTAGGAAATATATTTAGTATTATGCTTTTCTTGGATACAGAGCTGCCTTGATATATAATAAACACAGAATTTTTAGCATGAAGTGATGGGCTCCCACATATTTTGATTTCAAGCATAGATCTCAAGCATAGTTTGAGTTTTGGGTTTTGTTTTTTTGAGAACTATGTTGGACTGAGACTGTTTGAGTTTTGTCTTCAAGTTCTATTTCCCAGATTATTTCTGGCCCACTTTCCCTTTTAAGTCATTATATACCCCTGTTACATAAACCTGAATTATTAACCTTATTTTTGATCACTTATCCCTAGAATATCCCCTTTAAGAGTCCACCCCTAGTTGTCCAGTATTCAAATCTGCTAGCATATTTTAAGTTAATTGCATCAAGGAGATAATATATTTGACAAACTCTTATTAATTCACTCCCAATTGAAATTCCTGGAGGAAGGTCCCTATTTTGAAATGTTAATGGATGAAGTGAAACTCTCAGCCATTGGAAAGCTTAAGACTTAGTTTTTGTGAACAGTGATGGTAAAGAAGAAAAGTCATTATATTACCTTTGAGTTTCAAAGGTAGTAACAATCTGCCCTAGAGACTTGAGCCAGGAATTTCATTAATAAATTCCTTACGTCAAGAAAGGGCTATTCTAGTTTATCAAAACCAATAGCAGCCACCTAGTAGTAGGGTTGCAAAACTATTTCCAGGTAGAGAGAGGTATCCCCAAAGACAGAAATATTGTCCTAATTATTAAAGAAAAAGTCAAGATGCCAGAAAGTGGAATTGTCCTCTTACATAGAGAGATACTGACAGTTGCAATTCAGCAAGACACAGCAGTAATGGTGGGAGCTGAATATTTGACCATGTACTTCATTTAACAGTCTCCTTATTTATTGCTGTCTCCGTGCTACCTGAGCTGAGCCTACATCAGTGCATACTAAACTGAGGCTAAATGAGTTGTGGGGTTACCTTCTTGGGATGAGGAGATCTAGCACTGTGTCACAAATGGGAAGAAAATTAAGGAGTGAACTCTATGGGGTTTGAAACTAAAACCATGGGGTTATAATGCTTCACTGCTTCCAAGAAAAGCACCTTGTTTAAAAAAAAAAAAAAGACATATACCATGTTGTATATTTACAATTTGAATGCAATATATGAATTATAACATCTATCCTAGATGTGGTTTGTTTTCTACCAGTGCCCACAGCCTGTGACAGGCTTCCCTTCAAGTGTTTTTTCCCTGAGTATTTATTATAGTTTTGCATCTTTGTCCTTTAAACTATAGGATTTAGACAAAAGTCAAGAAGAAATCAAAAAACATCATGCCAGCATCAGTGAGCTGAAAAAGAACTTCATGGAATCTGTACCAGAACCACGGCCTAGTGAATGGGATAAGCGCTTATCCACTCACTCCCCCTTCAGAACACTTAACATCAACGGGCAAATCCCCACAGGAGAAGGAGTGAGTACTTTGTCCATGTGACCAGTTATGAGAATAAAATAAATGTTTTTGCTTGTTAATGTTATGTATGTGAAAGAAAGTTTGGAACTGAAATTTAGCTTTGATGCCTTACCAGTTCATTGTAGCTTTAAGGCATTCATAATCCAACACTGTACTTTTTTAAGTGATTTGGGCTCCTCAATCAGTTATAGGAGTTTCTTAAAGCTTCTCGAGGTTTATCAGACTCCAAGAACTAGCTCTGCAGCTGATTGCTTCTGTCTAGTGTGTGTTTACAAATTGACCATAAGCCAGTGGAACTTTATGTTCAAACTCTGCTGTCAAGGACCAGAGAGTTTACTAAATTTAGTAAGATCAAAATTGGAAAGGGATAAACATTTTTTTTAACTTTATTTGAACATTTGCACAACTTAGAAATATCTGGAATGGTTGACCACAATTATATAATAAACTCATGAGGTCCCTAAGCCAGAGAATGCAGAACACCAACTATAAATGATAGTGTTTCAATTTTAGAAAAACTACTTATTTATTTTGAGTAACATCAAACTTTTAATGTGTGGTTTTATAAGATGGCCATAATTAGAGGGAGCCAGATACACCTTTCAGAGCTCTCCTTTATGTATCATTGTTGTCATTAGCTGTTTTAGAAATATCTGAATCAATCTGTATAATGAGTTTATCTTAAAAGTTACCTTGAGCATATTTTCAAAAACTGTTTACTTAATCTTTAACCTATATGGGTTAAATATTTATAGAGTCGCCAAGACAAGATGAATGAATCTAATGATTTTAAAATTATATGCTTGTTATTCTCTCTGAAGTAATAGCATTTCCAGTTAGTTAAATATGGTGAAGTAATACCTTAATAATTGGAAAAAAACCTTTGTTTTTATAATCATGGAAAACTATCCAACTTATTGCTTACTTTCTGGAACTGGAGAAGTTGATAAAAGTTGGTCCACTAAGGATATTTTTTTAATGTTTTTCAAATGTGGTTAAAATTGGCAAACAATTCTCCAAATAGTGTTGAACCAGTTTTACTAAGAAAGACTGATTCCTGAATGACAGGAAGTGAAACAGAATTACCAGAGATAAGCTGCAGTTGTTTCTATTCACTGTCCTCTCAGCCTCCAATTGCCGTTATATAAATGTACATTAGTTTTATATTCTAAATCTAGGTAACATACCCTGAACTGAGACAGTGACTGCTTTCTAGAAATATTTAACTCTATCCATGCCTTGTTGCTTTTTCTTACTTGAGTAATCCTATCTGCAAACTATAACTGCATTTTTTTTCTAAAAGTTTTCTTTTTGATTCTGTTCAAGTAATAAAAAATGTTCAACTTCTTTGAAAAGTAACTTACTGCTCTCTTGGATAAGACAATATTGAATTGGTCTCCATTTCCAGAAAACATCTTATATCTTAATAGAAACCCTTCAGAAATCATCTCAGAGCTGATTTGAGGAATGGTTGTGTCATACAGTGGACTTCAAAGAAATGACTTTTTATAAATTAAATTAGACCAGTGGGGAGTACTTGAGCAACTTTAACTCTGTGCTTATGTATATTACCCCCTAAATGAATAATGGAATAAATAAGAACTGTACTTTGGTAACTTTTGATAGGACAATTCCACTTTCTGGCATCTTGACTTTTTCTTTAATAATTAGGACAATATTTCTGTCTTTGGGGATACCTCTTCCACCTTTGACAGCATTGTTGTTGCATTGTAAGGCAACTGAATTTTACATAATTTGTGTATAACCAGGTGAAGAAAACCTCTATCCTTCCCTCGGAAAGAAAGGTTGGTGGGCCAGAGGTAAAGCTGCTGTTATGACTTGTGCTTCTCAATCGGAATTTGCTCTTGTCATGGCATTAAGCAGATAATCCCCTCAGAACTGAACAGCAGCTGCTGAGTAATTTTTTTTTCTTTTGGCTATACTAGTAAATTCACACCCACAGCCTTTGGCCTAACACATAACATTTCCACTGCTGCAGCTTTTGCAGCTTTCAATTTGCTTATTTCGGCGCATGGCTGGTTGAAAAAGCTGCATGAAGATATAAATATGTATTCAGAGAGAAAATGAATTTAATTATACCCTGTTCTTTTTATGTTGTCTTTCTTCTCCTCCTTTATTTTCATTTAAAAATCATTATAATTTTGCACCCTTTCTTTTCCTTTTTTTCTTTTTTGCTGACCAGTCCCCTAGCTACTTTCTCCCTGATACATATCACTTAGGGGTGTGCAAAGAACCAGTGTCAAACTTTCAGACTGATCAGAGAAGGCTGGCTCAACTGAGAGAACTTAGGGCCAAGTTTTTCCTGTCATAGATAACATCTGTCCTGACTGGATGGCAGAGCAAAGAAACTATAGTGGGACAAAAACTTCTCACTTGGACAATTGGGGGAAAAAAAATTCCTTAAAAGTGTCAAAAATATTTGCTTAATGTGATGTATAAACTTTTATGATGGTTGTTAGTACTATTTTTCATCATGATTCTGAAAGAGGGGGAGGGAGTTTGCAATTGTTGAGATTTGTGGGATTTGGTTTTTCTTTTTTTCTGGATAGACCTTGGAGGCATATTTAAGCTTTTGTACATTTTTTCCTTTTGCTATCTTTAAAATGTATAGGATTAAGATTTTTATTCCCTTGAGCAAAAAAAGCTAACTACCATGCTGAACGAAAATGTTTTTTTTAAAGTCTATATGAGGAGATATGAGGATAACATTTTTTATTCTGCCATTCTATTTGTAATAAAAATAACTTTTCTGATGGCAAGAAGAAAACTTCATTATTGGCTTTGCCCAATTGATCTAAAAAAAAAAATTGGCAGCACCAAACTAATGAAAAATGACCAAAAATTCATGTGTGAGTAGATTCAAAGGAGGAATACATACTATAAGGAAGTCCACTTTCCGGATTTCTGATTTTCATTCATTAAAAAAAGTTTTAAGATACCTTTTTTAAAATTTATTTTCTTACATCATTTAAAATTTTGGAGAGTATTTGATTTCTTCCCTTAGGTATAGTCCCCTGTTGAGATACTTTTATAGAAACTTTGCCAGAATAAATTGCCAAAGTAAAGAAAAATAAAGAATGTCCAAAAGACCTTCCCAAATCCTTTGCACATCCCCAAGTGTCATTTTTGAGCATTTTCCCATCTGTCATTTTGTTCATCTTTCTCTGTCTTTCTTGATCTTCTACCGTGAAAGCAGACACAGGAACGTGCTCTGTTAGTGCAGGATGAAGAGAAAATTAAAAGGCAAGCGAGATCTTCTGAAAGAGCCTTGTCCCAGCAAGAACATGAAGAAATTCTTCCCAAGGTTTCTATTCCAATCCCTGAGGATCACAAGTCTCTCAAAAAGTGCCACCTCTACTCTAGTACTTTTCCATCTCCTCGTATTCCTTTCATGATGTCTTTTCTCGTGGTTCTTGCGTTGGCTGTTTGGTGGTTGGTCTTTCTGTGATCGGAAACCAGGGTACACGACTGAAATGTCAAGACTAAAACCCTTGAACTTTTGTCATTGGCTTCTACTGTGTTATCACCTGTACAATGCCCTCTGATCTCAATTAGTTCAATATCCCACAGGAGCCCTTGTGGACATTTATCTGTCAATAAAATGTGATTCATTGTAGAATATATCTTGTGGGGTATAAAGGAGTAGCCATGGATTACCCAAGCTAGTCTTCCTTGATGAAGTTTAACAAGTTTAGACAAATCAGATTTAAGCATGTGGCAGGTTAGCACTTTCCCTAAAAGCTTTAACTCTTTTGTCCTGCATGTTCTTATTGTTTCCTATTGCTGTGCCCTCCTCTTCGATGTTTCACACAAAGCAGGATACTCCATAGAAACCTCTGATGGAATATTTTCCATATCTTCTATAGTCATTTGTGTGGCATGATCTCTATAGTATAAGAAAAAAAAATTCAACATGCTAACCTTTCAAAAGCCTTAAAACAATACATTCTAATCTAAGAATCCATAACCACTCCTTTTCTTGAGATATCAAACCAGTATATTCAAAGGCCTTTTTTGGAAAGGGCTTTTGACTTCTGTGGCCTTCTTATGTATATTTCTGAGATGTATTAGGACAAATGACTTTATTCTGTCTGGTGTAATGAAAAGATCTGCAAAGCTAAACAATGCCATCTCATAAGTGAAATGATGGTGATTTAAGGAAAATGGTGCTGGTGTCCCTTAGCCTCCAGCCAGGGCTGAATTTTCTCCCCATCTTTAAAAGTCCTGGAACACAGATTTAATTCAAGATCTGTACATAAACATACCCTTCTCTGAATTAAAAGACTGTGTTACTTCTTTATGACATAAGTAATAATACTGCTAGAAACAATATCTAGCCATTATAAACTTACAGCATATATTGGTATACTTTGTTTTCACAATAGACTTTAAACCTGTTGGTTCTTACATTTGTATTCAAATCAATTGTTTTTAATTGATGGTCTTGTGAGTTACTGTTCTGTCGTGACAAGTATGTGTCCTCTGTTTGTTTGCATGTGGGTTTTTAAAATTTCCCCAAAGTAAATACAAGTGTGCTCTCTCTTCACAACACAACTTGGATACCTAACCTGTTATTTTTTTAACCTCAATATTAATGAAATCTTGCATGTAGCTTGCTTTTTATGGCACTTGATTGTACCAATATGAATGATTTAGTTTATGTCTCAAATTTTTGTTTTGAAATTGAATTCAGAGGGTTATCAAACTGACATTATTGTACTTTGTTTTACTTCTCAACACTTTTTAGTTGATGAAACTTCTAAACCAGACTTTTTGTTTTTAAGAAGATGATTATTAGAGCAAAGAAAGAGAACAGTAAAGCCAAGAATCTTTTGTGCTTCACACACCTTTGTGCTGTTGTCTCGGGAGACATGTAGAAATAACTCTCTGGTATTTCCTGAAAATTGCTTCTCTGTCATTATAGGCTTTCCCTAGAATGGGGAAAGAAGCAGGAGCGGGTTAAATTTAAAAATCTGGTG